TCTCCAACCAGCTCTGGTCAATCGCACGTCTCCGATGCTCCTGCACGGCAACGCGCGACCTCATACTGCACAACAAACTGTCTCCAAATTACAAGAGCTGGGGTTGAAAGCTCTTCATCATCCGCGATGTACACTAGACCTTGCGCTTATATACTTCTATTTTTCCAGAATTGGGAAACTTTTTGGTGGGGAAAAAAATTCAATAACCGAGATACAGTACAAAACGCCTTTAAAGAATTTATTGCTTCTCATCAAGCTGACTTTTTCAAGAAGGGCATCAATAAACTGCCACGGCATTGGCAACAATGCATGGGTGATTATTTTGATTAATAGAAATTAAAATATAGAAAAAAAAACTTATATCATAAATAACGGCAATTTTATGATATAATTTAGAGACCTGATATCATACTTTTTTCTGCTGTGTTATGTTTCTGAGTAATCTTAAGTGATGAGTAACATTTGTAGTGACACAAAAATATTATTATTTTATAGAATTAGGGTGACAAACGAGCACACAATCACACTTGATTGTAAGTGAATGCTGTACATCTTCATCTATTATCAGTTAAAAATCAAAATGCGTTGTTACTCCTGAAGACTAAAATGGATTGGCTCATTCCAATAAAAATGGTCTCTAGTTGTAAAAACTCATCATATGAAACATAGCAGCATAAAGCTGCTATTTTATGCTGATATTCTGTGAGAACATGGTCCTTCCCTGGTCAAGCTGACCTATTCATGCTACAACCATAATAGGCTCTCAATGGAGTTTTCTTGGAGTTGAGGAACTGGTATAACTACCTTATAAAATAATAAAAACTGTTTCTTATCATCTAAATATGTTAATACTCTAATACTTTGCCGATTCTGTAATATTTGTTATCTTATCAGTTAACATTAGTCCTACCAAAATATTCCATAAGTGAGCTTAGCAAATTAGCATTGAAATATGGTTGTAGCACAAATGGGTCGGCTCAACCGGGGTATGACTATGTTCTCACAAAATGCCTGTGTAAAATACCAGCCTAATGTTGCTGTGTTTCGTAGAGTGTAGAAAACATGAGACCCTCTTTACTGGAAACAAGGCATTCCATTTTAGTCCTCAGAGGTGACAACACATCTACATTTTGATTCTTAACTGAGGATAAATGTAGATGTGTATGAGTCACAGCATCCACTTACTATCTATCAGGTGGACTGTGTGCTTGTTCGTCATCCATATTCTATAAAAAAATACGTAAAAAATAATCAGAAGTACATAACATACAATACAACCCGTCTGCCAAGTATAACACCTACGCCACTATTAACCTATGAAGCTTATGTTTTTTTTTAATGTAATTGCACAGTAAATACTTTTAAAATTCTAAAAGGAAGACTTCTAAATATTTGTAAATTTGTAACACAACTAAACTACAATTGATTATTTTTGTTAATGGGCTAGTCAAAACCTTTTGGCCATAACAATAAAATTGAGATATGGGTGCGTTTGGCAGAAAAAAGCGCTAACAAGCGCTTGTAAAAGCATCCGAGCGTCAAATCAACTATTTTCCTCTAACAAAGACCAACCTAAAATTTTCGAAGTATTCATATTAAAAACTTACCAATCACGAAATACAGTAATGTCTATTCATGTCATTATATTACTTGAAACAAAATTGCAAAAAACAACTTATAAACTCTACTTCAAAACAAACAAATTAAATAAGCAAAATGGCGAGTGTCACCACTGCCTTCCCTTTTTTCTGCCAAACGCACCCGTTGTGCAAATATTCTATTGAGAGCATGAGCTGTAGAAATGCAGCTATATTGTTCAACTTCTTTTTAACATTATTATGACCTACCAACCAGCAGTTTCACCCTTCAGTGGGTAGGAATATCAGCATGTAATGAAAACGGCTGAGCAAGGAATTTTTTTTTCTTTAAGGCAAAATACATAACGAGGATACCCACAGAAGAATAAGAGTACTGTAGCCCAGTCAGTCATTAAGCTGTTGATGTGATACTCCAGACATAGCTCCAATGGTGAAGAAATGTTTCTGAGTGGCAGCCTCTTACTGGCAAGTGCAGTGTTGAGGGATGTCCCACTAGATGTAATTTCCCTTTTGCAGCAGCCTGTGTATATATTCAATGGGGAATTGTAAATCAGCACAATTGGAATGGGATATTTCCTTCCACTTTAGTGCCTTTACCACATCCATATATTGACACTAATTAATTACTAGAAAATTAAACACTAGTCTCTCATTCGATGGCAACACCAATATTGTAATTTTGAACCTATCTTATGTAATTGGATCTATCTATCTGTCCTAATAAAACATAAATACTTTTATTGGTATAGATGGGTGTAGATGTATCAGAACCATACTTTGTGACTATGGGGTTGACCTTTGTTTAGCAGTGGACTTTGTGTACTCGTAATATAAAACATACTTTAAATTAGTATACCTCAAAACCCAAAAATGAAATTTTACAATATGTGCAAGTGCGTGTTGCCAGTGACTATTTGTGGATCTGCGACATGGTCCTTCACTACTGGCCGTATGAGGACGCTGAAGGTCGCTTAGTGAGCTATGGAATGGGCTATGCTTGGGGTTTCTCTGCATGATAAACTTAGAAATGAGGATATCCAGAGTAGAACCAGTGACCGACATAGCCCAATGAATTAGTAAGTTGAAGTGGCAATGGGCCAGCCATATAGCTACAAGAACCGAAAACTGATGGGAAAAAAAGGTTCTAGAGTGGCAGCCTCGTACCAGTAGGCATAGTGTAGGGCGACCCCCCACCAGATGGAGCGACAACCGTTTAAGACATGCAGGAAGTCGATGGATGCAGGTGGCTCAGGACCGTGCTTTGAGGCATTACTTGGGGGAAGCCTATGTTCAGCAGTGGAGTTGTGAAGAGCTGTAATGATGATGATGATGTATATATATATTAGGAGAAACAGGTTTAGCATCAGTTTCAGATGCTATACCTGAGATGCAATACTAAAACAATCTGTCTACCAAGCATGAAAACAACTGCAATTATCTCTTTTATGAGGGAATCTATTTGGGAGGTCCACATTTAATAATAATTAATTTATTTCGGACAAAAAGTATCCATAGTGGTTAGTAAATGTTTTCTTAGATCTAGTGTTAGTAACATTTGGTTGACAACATAAAGCAAAGTAAAGGTAAAGCACCTGAAACGTCGGGTATTAAAAACTAAGTCAAAATAGTTGAATAAATGCAATAAAATCCGTAAATGTAGTTTTATTCAACATCGACAAGTTTAGCAGAGGACTTAGATATGTTGTTATAAGTGAAAAAAGAAAACAGTTAATATGAAAACCACAAATACTATTGATAATTAAAACAATCACCTTGACCTGGAATCAATATCACTATTCAAAATTAAATAGTATGTTTCAGGCAAGAAGAATCACTAACCTTCAGTTAAAACCATTAACTATTAAAACTACAAAATAGATAAAAACAAGTCAAGATGTTGTAACTTAATTAGACCAGAAAAATGGAAAAATCGTGTCTGTCAGTACTTTTTTGGCCCGGCATTAGCTCCTCGGTCATTTCTTTCCATGTGGGATTGCAAGTAAATGTAACAAAAAGATCAGGTCTTCCGTAAGTTCGTACATAGGTGAATGCGTCTTGTGTGTACTCATGTAGGTAGCGGGGACTGTTAACGAATGATGAGGGCAGAATTACCATTTTACCTAATTCTCTGGGGTTTACATTGGCGTCAGGTTTACATTGGCGTCAATCAAGGAAGAAACTATAGACAACACAGAGCTTCACAACATAAATAGATTGGTAATGCTATTAATGTGGCACTTCCAAAACAATATTTTCACACAATCAGAAAGTAATCCCTAGTAAATAAAGTATACAAAAATAATATAAAACCCTACAGCACTACAACTTATGAAATAAATTTAAAAATCACAAAAACACTAAAAAATATATATTCCTGGCACAAAGAATATATGAACTGTTTTTACAGTTAACTGAAGCGCAGGTCGGCATAGCGCTCAGGTAAAACGTCATCGTCGAGGCTATTACAAGGTTAGCCTGTTAGCCAAGCGCTAAACCCTGAATAATATCATCCAAAACGTAAACAAGAACCTGATCGTAAAGTAACATTTACACTGATAATAATAAATTGTTGACGGAAATATACCCAATAGCTGCTGTTATTCGTTTTGATAAGTCTTCTGTAATAAATCCCTGCTTGCACTAATAACTTTTTAATAGTTGTAGACATTAAAATTTATTATATATTACTAATGCAATAAAACCTTTGCGCACAGATTGACAAGTCAATGTTTCTGAATTTATTGATTGATAAACCATATGACTGACTTTGACAAGAATAACAGTGTTGCCAGTGAATGTTAGGTAACGTCATGGAGGTTCTCTAACCTCCATGGGTAACGTATTTACGTTACCCATGGAGGTTTTATTATTTCGATTAATAATAATTATTGTAGTTATGTAGTAGTTATTTTCTTAACCATCAGTTAATATAATATAATAATGCCACATAATAAAATTAAATTGTAGGATATTGCCAACGCGTAACAAAGATTATTTTTAATTTAAGTTATAAAATGAAAAAAAGTCAAAATTTTTATGAAATAAAGTTAACTATTTATTATGCAATTGATTTAAATTATTTCCTATTTTCTGAAACACTAATTATCAATAATAGAACACAATATTAATATTGTTTCTAACAAAAAGAGAAAGCAGTAAACAAGTATTATTATTCGTAATTTAAAAAAAAAACTATCGCGAGCGTATTTTCTCATACAAAAATTCACCATGAAATACTGCCAGTTATCTTGTACTACTATATGTTTATATATTTTACTCTTTGCAGTTATCGTCAAACCATTATATTATTATATACGTCACAGCGGTGCGATGTTAAAGCAAGCAATAATATTATTACGTTTAAAATAAAAATTGCGACTTTTTAAACTAAAACCAAGTTACCTTTGCCATTGCACAATAATTTTCTTCGTTCCAGTCAATGTAACAAGACTTTTTATTTATGAAATCAATTACAAAAATACACTGACGTATCAACGTGTAAGTTACGTCCGCACTGCGAAAGCTAAAAATATGAACTGCCGAGCCAGAGCGAGACGTTTGTTGCATAGAAATTCGATACGGCAATATGATCGGTATCGTTACAAGTGTGAAAGAGCAAGGAATAATAGTTTCGCACGAACTCATGCGGAAATTAACGAAAAGCAACCCTTATTGGAGGAAAAATTTTATACGTCATATATTTATGCGGCTATTGTAAAAAGTCACTATACATTGAACTCAATACATTTACTCATATAACATTTCAAATTGGTTTACTAATAAAAATAATCGTGGAAGGAAAACAAACAGTAAAGTAAACATTAACACAATTAGAATTAGAATTATTATTTCGACACGATATCAAAAACATGTTTTGAAACAGCAAATGCAAAATAGGTAGGTATATAAGTAATATTTCGTTGGATTAATCACCACTACATAAATAAATATTTCCTTTGTTTATGAGTTAGTCATCATCATACGATATTAGCACGGTAATATTATCTATACAGTATTGTAACTCGGCCGTATCTTTCAAATAAATGCCTACAGCAGTGCGGCACGTAAACATGCGTTAGGGCTGCCTGCCTCCAGCATCTTTACATTTGCCTACTTTGTGTTTCCATTTAGTTTTATGATTGTAAATATACTTTTTATATAAACAAATAAATTAGGTACTTTGTGAATTGAATAGGAAGTGTTATGTCGGTAAAAATGCGTGTCGTTTTTTGATTGGTAGATTTAATTAAAATAAAAGCGGCCACAAGCGTGTCGGGCCACGCTCAATGTAGGGTTCCGTAGTTTCCCGTCCGTCACAATAAGTGTTCCCACTTATGAGTTTAAAGGTGGGTATCCATTATGTTCGAGCTCCAGCAGCGCTCCGCGCTCCTGCAACTGCTCCCGGTAGTGGGTACTGCTGTTTCCATCCAAGTTCAAAATTATTTTCCTAGAAAGTCCTTATAAAGTTCTACTTTTCGGATTTTTTTCATATTTTCTAAACTTATGGTTCAAAAGTGATTGATACACATATTGGTACCAAATTTCAGCTTTCTAGTGCTAACGGTCACAGAGATTAAGCGAGGACGGACAGACAGACATGGCGAAACTATAAGGGTTCCTAGTTGACTACGAAACCCTAAAAAAACCATGTTTATGTTTGAATAACAAATCGGTTAAATAAATTTGCGACCGAAAAATATTTGCGCCTCGGCTGAGACTTACGAAATGCTTTATTATTAGATTTTTAAATATAAAAAATCCGCTTTCTAATATAAAGCTAAAAATAATATAAATTAAAAATTGTTTTGGGAAACATGGACAACGTGGAGAAAAGGAATATCTATTAATTGGTTATAGATACCTGCAGCTACTTTACAATTTATATGTTTGTTTTTAAATGAAGTTCAGATTTATTATTTCTTTATTTCTATTCTATTATTTATTTCCTCCATTTTTTTATATATTTCACAAAATCATCACTGCGGCACAGTCTCGACTGTCTGCATGCCGAGCGCATGCCGAGATCGAGGCGCGTAGGCATAGCTCTCGCTTCGTCTGTTTGTATGAAGTTGGAATACTGTATAGATAATATTACCGTGATATTAGTTTGAAATTTCTCTTTCTAGCAAAGAATACACTTTATATTTTTCATTACATAATTATAAGACGTTGGTCAAATATAATTAGTAAAATGAAATCGCTAAGTATTAAATTAGGTTATCAGTTATCACCTTATCACTTAAAGTCGGAACGAAAATGAATTATTTCGGCCAAAAAATAAGAGAAATTCGGGTATGGACCACATGATAAATATCTACACATGTGGTATGGACTGTATTTGTCCAAAAATTTTAAGTAATTTAGTATGTGAAAAAAGGTGAAATAAGTACCTAATTTATTCGTATTTTGTGTCATTATTTAATAAATAAGATACACACTACTTGTTTGCTGAAACAAACAAGTAATAACTTTAGAGCAATTACATTGGCACACTTACAAAAACAAACAGGTAATTTTGTAAAACAATGATATTTATTACAACATAGATCATGTTATGTCTAATGTGGTAATAAACGAGCTAAGTACCTACCTAAATCATAATTTGTAAATAAATTAATATTTATTTATATATATTGACTAAAACTACTTTTATGGATTTTATCGCGTTCCAAAGTTACTGCATATATACGTCCCACTGCTGGGCACAGGCCTCTCCTCATTTCTGAGAGGGCTTTAGAGCAAGAAAGCGTCCGCCACGCTGGCCCAATGCGTGTTGGCGAACTTCACATGTCTTCGAAAATGTTTTTTTTCTTATCTCACAGACATGCAGGTTCCCTCACTACGTTTTCCTTCACCGCTGAGTTCGTGGTAAATCAGCTCTTAAAATTGCAATTAAAAATTTAATTGGTGCCGGCGGGTTCATCAACCCGGGTTGTTCACGTACTGTGAAATTTACAACGAGCGCTAACCATCTGAACTACCACGGCTCTCGCGTTTAACTTCTTGTTTTGTTATTCCCTTCGTTTCGGGTGTTTTCCAGCACCCAAGGTCACGGGGGACTGAGGTGACCGACGACCCAATGTCAGTGTTAACCCGGAGTATCTTCAGCTTTTTAATAATTATTTATGGTCCGATCGCGTAGGTAGTACGCTTCGGTTTAGTTGTAATTTCAGGTGGTAGTACCCAGCTTCCTTCTCTATTGAAATTAGGATGTCTTTTTAATTTCAATAGTCATGATCCTTGGCAGGAATCGCTGTTCTTACGTGATGATTTGTGGTCTATCAAATCTGATGTAATGGCGGGGGCTAGTAACTGCGGGTAATAAGACCTAACTAAGGGAATTTCGCAAAAAGTGAGAAATATCTTATTTGGTCTACAGATTTTAATAAAAATCGTTGGCTTAATACAGTTTCTATAAAGTGTGAACGAAAAATGTTGTCACATTTGCCCTAAAGAAAAACAAAATTAAACATTTCTAAAAACCTTGCTAGTAGCACTTATTTTACTATGGTACGATAATAAAGCCTACTGCTTTAACGAACTCAAATAATCAAAGTATACATAATATAATTAATATTTATGATCAATAATTACATTAATGCAGCAATTAAGACTTATTATTATATATATAAACTTAAATTTCTTCGGCTAATAACACTTAAAGTTATTAGTATAATGATGGAAAAACTGACAAACAAACGCATTCCTCGTGATTATCAACAGTGCTTCAGTTGTGTTTCGAGTTGAGATGAGTGTTAGGTTGAGTTGAGAGTTGGGTTGTGTCCTCCCAATCGAATTTTTCTCCCAGTGGCCAGTCTCCACGAAGACTAGCCTATTTGCACGGTACAGAATTATTGTGTACAAATGTATGCGCAAGCACAGGTGCACTCTCTATTCCCTCACAATCATCAAATAGCAATCCGTCACGGTACGAGAGAGCTTAGGCGCAGTATCAATAATTTACACATAATTTAATAGCGTCTAATGTCAAAGCCTTAATACTTCGCAAACACACTTTGTCTTTGCACCGTTTGGACGGCTGAAACCAGGTTGTTTTCTGACTACAACGTTAGTTTAGTAATAAGAGCGTACGATTTATTTGCATTTATAACATTTTAAAAGTGATAACAAATACATTATTAAGCAAAACTATTCTTACGTACAGTAGAGCCATGGTGTAGCTATATTATGGTTGTAGCACGAGTGGATCGGCTCGACCGGGAAAGAACAGCGCTCTTACAGAATACCAGCGTAAAATAGCAGCTCTATGCTGTTGTGTTTTGCTCCCCCGCTGAAATCACGGTTGCACTCTGCAGACTGCCGCCGTCTTTGGCACTATAGGATAGGATGCGGTCTTTCTTTGCATCCTACCCTTGGGGTGGGGTTTGCTTCTCGCTGGACGATCTCAACATTGTTGCTAATTCTGTCACTGATATGGTACTTCCGGGTAAGGAACTTTATATTCCTTCCTCTTTGATGCCCATCGGAGACAGATCTCAGCCATAGTTTAGTCGCTCCAGTAACATAGCATCATGTTATAAGCAGGAGTACTACCGGGCCTGACCTGCGCATTACCGTCTCGGGATGTAAACGCCAGCACCCTTAAAAAAGTATAATTTCGCCTCCGGTACATCAAAAGAGTTATTGCCAAGGCAGAATTGGCGAAAAACTAGTTCGCCTTCCTTCTGGAACCCGTGCATTCTGGTCTCTCGCCAAGGCTGTCACAGTCTCAATCTCTGCATGGGGAGGACGACTCATTGATCCATGCCGCAAAAGAGAAATCCAATCGGCTAGGGTCTTTCTTTGCGTCCAACTCGACTCTCGATGACGATCGGAGCACACTGCCGACCATCCCGAGGTGTGATTGCTCCGTGCCGGATGTGCGGTTCACACAGCGCTTGGTTCGCAAAGCACTCCTCGCCCTGGATATCCACAAGTCGAGAGGGTCTATCGGAATCCACCCAATTGTGATGAGGACTTGTGCTCCAGAGTTGGCATCGGTTCTAGTGCGTCTTTTTCGATACTCCTACTCCTTAGGCGTAGTCCCGAAATCATGGAAGAAGACTTTTTTTATAGGATTGGGTGACAAACGAGCACACAGTCCACCTGATGGTAAGCCTTTTGTCCACCCGATCCCAAATCCGTCCAACTATAGGCCTATCACCATCACCTCCTTGTTCTCCAAAATAATGGAATCCGATTTTGAATAAATTTAAACGGGACCATTCGAGAAGCACCAGCTTTCATACAAAAAAAGAATCATCAAAATTGGTTCAAGAGAAAAGTTATGAGGTAACACACATAAAAAATACCTCCTCCTTTTTGAAGTCGGTAGATTAGTCGGTAGGTTAGTTTCATTTATTGGTTCTCCATAGACTATATACCCTTCAATCCGAAACACAATACAGGAC